TGAGCCCACTGGGGACCGACTTCACGTACCTGCTGCTCTATTTTTATATCCCGCCCTGGAGCACTGGCTTCCTGGGCGGTTGCTCTTCAGCTCTGACTCTGAGCCTCCCTCCTACCCAGGTGGCCAAGACGAAGCAGCAGATCGAGGAGCAGCGGGTACAAGTGCAGGTGGTGGAGCGGGCCCAGCAGGTGGCAGTGCAGGAGCAGGAGATCGCCCGCCGGGAGAAGGAGCTGGAGGCCCGGGTGCGGAAGCCAGCGGAAGCTGAACGCTACAGGCTGGAGCGCCTGGCAGAGGCAGAGAAGTAAACACCCCTCCCGGCCCCTCTGGGCTCCTTCACACCTGGGCGCCCCCAGAGGAGAAGCTGAGGCCTCCTCTACCTGTACCCCTTCTGTGGAGTCTGTCCCAGAGCAAGGGCTCCTCCTCAGCTACTCCTTCCACTTCCTTCTCTGCCCAGGTCCCAGCTGATCATGCAGGCAGAGGCAGAAGCCGAGTCTGTGCGGGTGAGTTAGCCACTGGCTCTTGCCGGTTGGTGGAGGGAGTAGGAGTTGTTGCTCACCCTGGGATTTCTTGTCCTTAACTCCCACCATCAGTAGCACAAGTATCCTGTGCCCTCCTCAGATGCGGGGGGAGGCCGAGGCCTTTGCCATAGGGGCCCGAGCCCGGGCGGAAGCCGAGCAGATGGCCAAGAAGGCAGAGGCGTTCCAGCTGTACCAGGAGGCTGCTCAACTGGACATGCTGCTGGAGAAGCTGCCCCAGGTCTGGGGGTCATGTGGGCACCAGCAGAGGAGGGACAGGACCAGGGAATCAGGGGTGGGGGAAATGAGGGACTTGGGGAGAACCAGCCTAGGGGGCCATAAATCAGGGCTGGGGATTACAAACCAGTGATCAGAGTGAGGCAGGGTGATCCTTGCTGTAGTGAAGAACAGGGATCTTAAAACCCAGGGTAAGGAGTCTTAGGAATGGCAGGGTCAGACTGCAGGCACTGAGTGTGCGTCTCACCTACCAGGTGGCAGAGGAGATCAGCGGTCCCTTGACCTCGGCCAATAAGATCACACTGGTGTCCAGTGGAAGTGGGGCCATGGGGGCTGCCAAAGTGACTGGGGAAGTGCTGGACATCCTGAGCCGCCTGCCAGAGAGCGTGGAGAGACTCACAGGCGTCAGCATCTCCCAGGTGAGGGCCTCTAGGGTGGGGGCCATGGAGCCAAATTGCCAGGTTCCTGTGGCACATGACGCAGCGGGCCCAGCACCCAGGAGGTCTGGGGGCCACTGACATTTATTAATTGCTTTCCGTGTGCCAGACACAGTGCTAAGGTTCTACACAAAATGGTTTAAAAAATTTTTTTTAAATCAGACTACCTTTGGGGTGTGTAGGGCTTTACAAAGTAAAAAAACTGAACTTTCAACATGTTAGGTAGCTTAGCCCATGGCATACAGCTGGTGAAGCTGGGCTTCAGACCCGGGCCCGCTGTCTCTGGGGCCTGTGCTTGTGGTCACCCCACTAACAGAAGGAGCTAGTTGTAGCCTGTTGACAATTAATTCCAAGGCCCATCACTGCTTTCCTTGGTGCCTGTTTATTCACCTGTAGATTATGGTAGAGATCAGAGGGCAGGATCTAGAACCAGACTGTTTTGTTGGAATCCTGGCTCCAGTGCCTGCTAACTGACCTTGGACAAGTTAATCTTCTCTGCACCTGTTTCTTCACCTTAAAACCAGGTTAATTAAAGTAACTATCCTGTTGAATTGCTAAGGGGATTAAATGAATAAATATTTGCATGTTGTTTAGAACAGTGTTTAGCACGTGGTAAGTACCATATAAGAGAGTTAAATAAAAAATGTATACATAAATAAAAGCATTGGACCATAGCAGTGACCTTCAAGCTGGATTCCTTGAAGTCTCCCTGAGGCCTGCAGTGGAAAATTGGGAGCTAAGGAGGGTTGTGCAAGCAGGGCTCTGGCCCCTTCACCGGCTTGCAGTAAATCAGTCATTGTTATACGATGACTGCTTGGCAAAGGGGTGAGGTAGGGTGCCAGAAAAAAACTACAGTACTCTTGGAAATTTGTCTACCCTGTTGCCCATTCATCCAGATGAGGTCCTGGGAGATTAGGGTACCTGGTCCCTAAGTCATCACTGTCGTCTTTTGCCAGGTGAACCACAAGCCTTTGCGAACAGCCTGAGCCCTCGACCTTCGTGATGCCCAGCCTCGTAGCTCAAGCCTCATTGCCTGAATGGTCCCCATATTGCATGCACTTAAGCTGGCTACCTGAGCTGTCCTTTGACAGCAGGGTTCCAACCCTCATCTCTCCTTGCCAAACAGCCTGTGCCTTGCCTTGGAGGGGAAAGGTTGCTCCCTTTCCCAACCCCACACTGCCAAGACTGCCAGTCCCCTAGGGGTCCCATGCCAGCCTTCTGATGATCCCACCCCTCAATGTATTTAACTTAATTACTGTCTGAGCCTGTTGTCCAGAATTCTTTCCTGACTGAGACTTGAGGGGATGGTCTACAGGTTTTCAGTTTTACTTGTCAAATAAATGCTGTTAATAAGTACTGATAGTTAATAAAACAGAATTCAGAATAAATGCTAGAATGCAGCTTTCCCCCTTGCATTCAATAGGCTTTTTAAACTGGGAGAAAGGCAGTAGTTAACTTGTGTCCTGTTGAGTTGCAGGATTAATTTTTCCCCCAAAGTTGCTTATAGTCAGAAAAGCATGCTTAAGTGGAAGCTGTTTGAGAATTACATTGGACCCTAGAATTACTGAAAATATGGCCAAGGTAAATTATTTTTCAATTTCCAATTGTTATATTTGAGGATATCTTTGAGGCTGTTACGCTGCGCTCTTTAAAGCATGAGGTATTAGGTGGAACATAACCTTAATTTAGAATGGGACCATCATATGACATCCCTGCTAGTGATTGCCTTAGGTTAACTGAGAAAACCCACAGCATTACAAAAAACAGCGACATCCACCACCCAAAGGAACCCTCGATGTGCTGTGCATTGGAAGTGGCACAACAGTGGCTTTCAGCTCCATGCTTTCATGATATTCTTCTGGAATACCATTAAAAGACTGCTGGGGTCCAACCCATTTCTGGTTCAGTATACATTGGCAGGCCTGAGAATATCCGTTTCAAGGGGACACTGATGATGCTAGTCTGGCAACCACTTAACATCATGTCATTTCCCCTTTCCTATCCCTAGATCCTACATCTGAGCCTATGCCTATCCTAGCTATTAAGCCTGGTACTGGTGGTGGGTACCAGCAATTAAGGTATAAAGGTATTTTCATCACTATGGGAAGCACAGTATATAGCATTAACAATTTGAGCCCCATGCCTCCACCAGCAATCCTTCCCTGAATGAGTACACGTCTTGCAACTTTTTTTTTCAATTCCCATTTATTTTTGGCTCTTGGGGCAGTCATCTTTTCAATATGAAAAAAAGCAGCAAGTTCAACACAAAATAGAAATCTGAAGTGTAGAATAGGACAAAACCAAGGTTGAGGGGGGAAAGGCAATAGCAAAAGAGATGAGATGTTGCCAAGACAGGGTATCCTGTCCCCTCTCCGGGGAATGACAAACATTTAGGCGGCAGCACACACCTTTCCAGAAACACACAAAAGGGCTGGTATTCATTTTTTATGTAGGAAGATGGAATGGGGAGGGCCTTTCTGGAAGTTGACAGATTAAGGCTAGTCTCTCCTTGACCCCCTTTCTGAGCAGGAATAAAGGAAGGGATCCCAGCACTTAAAGGAAACGAAGTGGTAGAGAACGAAGGATCCCCCTTGACAGGGTGGGGCCAGACCCCTGCAAAAGAAACAGCTCAGGGACAGAGCTTGAAGGGAGACTGAAAATGGAGATAATACTGTTAACACCTCCCTGGAAACTGAGAGCAGGGAGATACCTGAAAATTAGGACTTCCACAGCTTGGACGGCCCTCTCCAAACCCCCACCCTTTCCTTGTAGGGACTTCTCCCTGCTGTGAGGTTGCTTGGCTTCCTTTCCCCTGGGCTACCACATGGGCCTAGGATGGTAGTCACCCATCTGGGTTTTCAGCACACAGTTCTAAATGGGATCTGCTGAGATCCAGCTTCTTGGAGAGTTATCTTGAAAACAGAGAGGGGAATGTTAACTGGACAGATGGGAGGAGTGGGCACCAGAAGGAAAAACAGGGTTACCCAGAATGGCAGAAATCTAGGTTTCCCAGAGTGGAAAGAGAGAGGAGACATTCAACAAACAACAAATATTTATTGAGCGCCTATTATGTGCCAGGCACTGTTCTAGAACCCACCCCCCCAAAAGAAACAAGATAGAGGCAGAAAACGCGAATTCTGAGGGAAAGGGGCGGTTGAGGAAGAAGGCTGAGGGGACTGAGAAGGCTGAGGTGACGGGGCTCGGCCTTAGGCCTCCTCTTCGGCTTCCTCACCGAAATCCTCCTCCTCTTCTGCGGTGGCATCCTGGTACTGCTGGTACTCGGAGACGAGGTCGTTCATGTTGCTCTCAGCCTCGGTGAACTCCATCTCGTCCATGCCCTCACCTGTGTACCAGTGGAGGAAGGCCTTCCGGCGGAACATGGCAGTGAACTGCTCCGAGATGCGCTTGAACAGCTCCTGGATGGCTGTGCTGTTGCCGATGAAGGTGACCGCCATCTTGAGGCCACGGGGTGGGATGTCGCAGACGGCTGTCTTGACGTTGTTGGGGATCCATTCCACGAAGTAGCTACTATTCTTGTTCTGCACGTTAAGCATCTGCTCATCCACCTCCTTCATGGACATCCGCCCACGGAAGACAGCAGCCACGGTGAGGTACCGGCCATGGCGGGGGTCACAGGCAGCCATCATGTTCTTGGCATCGAAGACCTGCTGGGTGAGTTCGGGCACAGTGAGGGCCCGATACTGCTGGCTGCCACGGCTGGTGAGAGGGGCAAAGCCAGGCATGAAGAAGTGGAGACGTGGGAAGGGCACCATGTTGACTGCCAGCTTGCGGAGGTCAGCATTGAGCTGACCAGGGAAGCGAAGGCAGGTGGTGACACCGCTCATAGTGGCTGAGACGAGGTGGTTCAGGTCCCCGTAGGTTGGCGTGGTCAGCTTGAGGGTGCGGAAGCAGATATCGTAAAGGGCCTCGTTGTCGATGCAGTAGGTCTCGTCGGTGTTCTCCACCAACTGATGGACGGAGAGGGTGGCATTGTAGGGCTCCACCACAGTGTCGGACACCTTGGGTGAGGGTACCACACTGAAGGTGTTCATGATGCGGTCAGGATACTCTTCACGGATCTTGCTGATAAGCAAGGTACCCATCCCAGAGCCTGTGCCCCCGCCCAGCGAGTGGGTCAGCTGGAAGCCCTGCAGGCAGTCACAGCTCTCGGCCTCCTTCCGGACCACATCCAAGACCGAGTCAACCAGCTCGGCCCCCTCTGTGTAGTGGCCCTTGGCCCAGTTGTTGCCTGCACCAGACTGACCTGCAGTGGGGTCAGAAGGCAAACTTGATTAGTAAAGTGTGAAAGATACATGGCCACATTTCTACTTTTGGAGTAATACTGGGGGTGTGTCTTCCTTCTCTCTCCCCTATGACACACCCCCAGCACCCCCATTAACTAGCTAAAGCAGTCACTACCTCCACTCCACTAAACTTATACACATCCCTGTACGCTCTCCAGTACAATCATTTCCTAACTCTTGCTGTCCCGTTGCACACAAGTAAGTTGAATAAGAGTATCTACTACTACCTGTATAACTCACCAAAAACAAAGTTGTCTGGTCTGAAGATCTGACCAAAAGGACCTGAGCGAACAGAGTCCATGGTCCCGGGTTCTAGATCCACCAAGATAGCACGAGGAACATATTTGCCACCTACACGGAATAAAGTAGAGGAGTAAACACCGGCAGACGTAAAGGCAAGTAACTTCGGGGCTGGGAGACAGCCGGGGACCCAAACTTGTGATTCCAGTCGCTGACACCAGGTGGCAGCAGAGCTATTTTTGGGCCTGGGTGGAGAACTGAGAAAGACCTCCAAAGGGAAAGGATGGATTCATTCAACGCGGAAAAGGGGTTTGGGGGTTTCCCAGGGATGGAACGAGAGCTGGGAGAAGTGGGAAAGATGGGATCCATGCTTCTGGGCTCCTGCCCTCACCTGTGGCTTCATTGTAGTAGACAGAGATGCGGTCCAGCTGCAGGTCGCTATCCCCATGATAGGTGCCGGTGGGGTCGATGCCATGTTCATCACTGATCACCTCCCAGAACTGCCAGAGAGCAATGAGTTACAGCAGCTCAGTTTCAGGTAATTATACCCCACTACCGCCATTTTAACTCCGGACACGCCCATGGTGGGCCCTCCTTAAGGCCTGGCATTCCTTCCGTCGGCCACACCCTTTTCCCTAGACCTCTGCGCCCCCGGGAAAGTCGCAGCTTTCACCGCTTGGGATGAGATGGGAAGACGCGATCGCAGGCACCGAGGTAGGTAGACAGAGGCGGCCGACCTGCTCGGAGAAGCGCACCTCCCGGTTCCGCAGGACCAGAGAAAAGA